ACTCCAAAATCCAAACAGTCCCAACTCATTTACATATTCAGCCTACAGCAGTCCAGCTCCATCCATTCACACTGAAGTTACGAGGACTGTTTCAGCCTGGACTGCTTTTTGAATGAGCCAATACAGGGCAGCCAATTAGAACAAAGCTCATTTACATAGGTCAGTCTAAAAGGCACAGTAACAAAAACAGCCTGTTTAACTCTCTGGGGTCCATGAACTCACCCATGTGTCAAATTCCATGTTTTCATATCTCAGAAATCCAGTTCAAACAGTTCCTGAATCTTTAGAGTCGCCCTTTCCAGTCCATCTCATCACGGGATCATACGAGACTCACATCCGGAGTTATGAGCCTATGAAGAGGGGCTGAGATACACGTCTCTCACCGTGTGGTACTGGTGAATTCGTGTGTCCGTCTACATTCTGTGTGAAACTGACCGATGGACACTCGGAGAGTCACTAAGGACTGACCATCACGCCGGAAACCCCATTATTCTTCATTCAGCCCACATCGGACACACGTGTGAAATGGCGTGCGGAGAGTTTACAGCTGCTGAAGTTGCTGCAGTGGTTTTGGAAAGTAGTGATGAAGATAACGGAGCATTTTGATACGAAACATAGGAGTATTGTGTTATTTCGCTGCTCTTGTATCTCCATTTTTGTCATTTTTCAGTTTTTGACATAATTTGAAAATGTCTGTTGCCCTTTACATTGTTTGTAAATTTCATGATGAATAGGCCAAAAGAAACAGCCCAAAATGTCTTGGAAAAAAGTCTGGTTCCATTGACTTACATTAAAATTAAAGTAGGTTTTTTCCTTCTCCTGTATAGTTGTCATTTTGGAGATTCAAGGTTTTGTTCCGAACAACAGCGACATGCAAGTGCCTTAAAAGGAGAATTTAAGAAGATATGCACAAATCGAGAACATGCCCTCAGACCTCAAAGGGTTAATACTTCGGGGTAAACAGAGGTTGGAAAATGTTTATGTAAAAAATTAATTATCACGTTTTTGGTACATAAAGCCTCACAAGCATCAGACGCTGATTTTACGTAACAAATAAAATAAATAAATACTGAAAAATGTATGATATAGACCCTTTAATAGGGAGTTGGTCCCCCTTTGCTGCAGTAACAGCCTCTACTCTTCAGGGAGGGCTTTATATTAGATGTTGGAACATTGCTGTGAGGGTTTGATTGAGCATGAGTAAGGTCTGGATGATCAGTTCTGGATCACTCCAACTCATCCCAAAGGTATTGGATGGAGCTCCATCAGTCCAGAGAACGCGGTTCCACTGCTCCACAGCCCAAAGCAGGGGGGGCTTTATACCCCTCTAGCCGACCTTGTGCCTGTGGGCTGCTCCAAAGCGTCCCATTCTATCGTTCAATGCTTTTCTATGGCGATAATACGAGCTGTGTCAGCAACGAGTGAACCTTAAAACCTTAAAGCAACTAAATTCTCTAATTAGAAGGGTCTGGATACTTTTGGACATACATTTTAGCTGACATGTACAGGCGGTTTACTGAAAGAACTTTAGAGAACTACCACAGCTGATATACACATTACGGGAGCCCACCCATGTGTCATAATGACACTTCCTTTCATGTCTCGCCTCAAGAGGGCTATTCAGAAGACTCAGACTGTATTTTGTACAATTCAGTGTTCGTCTGGATAGACAGATCGTTTCATGCGTGACAGACGTTTCCACAGACGACACTATCGATTCCACTTATCAGATCACGATGTGATAATCTGTGGACAGCTCTGCTGGGTCCTTCAGGGAACCCAAAATAAGTGTAAAAGCCCTTCGCCTAGAAGTGTTTATGAGTAATCGACAGCCTCTATAAACATTAGTGAACCCCATGTCTCAGCTGAATGTGCTGTGATGGAGCAGGGGACCAATACACACATTCACTATGGGCCAGTTTCCCAAGTCTGAGCGAAGATTAAATGGGATTTTTAATGGCGAGTCACCACTGACATTACCATGTTCATGAAACAGACCCTGTATGTCCAAATGACTGATGACAATTCTTCTACTTTTTAAGGGAAATTCTACCAATTTTTTAAGTTATTTAGAGTGGTTTACTGTAAAATGGTTTATTGTAAAGAAACACACTGACTTTGATGACTGGAACCAGGAGTCAAGATGTCAGGAACACAAATACAACCATTTTATTTAACAAAATGACCAGTGAACTGAAGTCTCATCTGAATTTTATGTATAACGAAGGTAAAACAGTGCTAAATTGGAAAAGCAAGTTTTCTTTGAGGACTATTTTGCCTCACAACACCTGCATGTATGTTTATCTCAAAACTATCGTAAAAACAATGCATCAGGCATCAGACAGTGTATTCATGACCATTTGATGTAATAACTTTCTGTGAGAAAGCTTTTTAACCTCTTATTCTCCTGGGCATATCTAGGTTTTTGCGTCTGAATTTACATGCCCAAATCGTAATGCAAATTATTCAGTAACTGCATGAAACAAAAGTGATGTGTTTTTTTGTAAATCAACAGAAAATGTGTTTTATAATCATATATGTTTCTATATGCTTACAATTTACTGCTGAAAGCCAAAAATCTTAGACGCTCTTTGTACTACTTTATAAAAATAATTTGTACAGAGCAGATCACTGAAGAGACGCCATCTGTTTACAGTTTATAGCCCAGATTTGTGGAAAAATGGGTCGACTTTCAGTAGAACAAAAAAAAAAATTGTGAGTTCAGCTTCTTTTATTATAAAATTTTAAAACTACATTACCCATCTATTTAACTGGAAAGAAGACAGTTCCAGCTCTCATATGACCCCCACCTTTTGAATGTAGCTTATGAAATATGAAAGTTATGAAATAAAGAATGTGACAAAGTGCGTTTTGGAACCACCAGTGGTTCCACAGAGTTAGTGGCCGTCTGTTTCCTATCACCACCACTGTGAACAATTCCTTCTCAGTAAGTTTCTCTAGAACGGAGCATTTCACACCAAATCGATCAAATCATGCAGCATTCTTGAAAAATCAGGGGGATTCCCTTTTAAAATGTACCGATTGCTGTTACAGGTGCTCATTTATGCACTTAAAGCTTGTATTATCCCCCAGAAAAGCATGACCAGAAGAATGGGATGCTCTAGAGTAGCCACACAAGAGCCAAAGGTCACAATGCCCAATGCCGGCTCAACTAGACAGGGATAAAGCCCCCCATTATTGGGCTGTGGGGAGGTGGGACTGTGTTCTCTGTAGTGATGGAGCTCCATCCAATACCTTTGGGATAAGCTGGAGTGATCCAGAACTGACCATTCAACATCAGTACCTGACCTCACTAATGCTCAATCAAATCCTCACAGCAATGTTCCAACGTCTAGCATGAAGTCTTCTCAGAAGAGTAGAGGCTGTTACTGCAGCAAAGGGGGTGGTAGAAGGAAGGAAGGCTGGTGTCTACAGACTTTTGGACATTTATCTAGTGTAGCGCAATTATCTTTCCTTTCATGCGTCACCTCAGGAGGCCTATTCAGAAGGGTTTTCTATTTCTGTGTTAGAGACGGAAGGCAGACATCTTCACAGACAACACAATCGATTGCAGTCATCACATCACATGACTATAATGTGTTGTCATCCGTAAAAGCTATATCCCTAGGGGGATCCAAAAGCACTGCTCCAGTAGAAAAATCCCTAATAGGGGAACTCCACCAAAACTACTGAATAATCCAAGCCTTGAGATGGAAACGGAGTCATTCAGAATGGTCTGACGTGAAATGGTTCATTGTAGAGCCTCAGATTTCTTTACAGTGGTGGTGATAGGAACCAGGGGTCGCCATGTCTGCATCAAATATAGACATTTCATTTACGATCCAAAATCAGCAGTGAACCTACACGTCTTCTGAGTTTATATGTAATGTTGATGATGGTAAAATAGTCATAAATCTAAAAAAATAAGTTGTATTTGGGGACTATTTTGCCTTATAACGCCCTGCACGTACCCCTCCACCATGACAGGATTAAAATAAAAGGATTCAAATGCATTTTAAGCCAAAACTCTCAGACATCAGGCAGTGAATTCATAACCATTTCACCTAATAGCTAACTATCTGTGAGTGGGCTTTTAGAGGTGGACGTCTGGTTCCCATCACCACCAGTGTGAACAGTTCTGACTCGACAAGTTTCTCTAGAACGGAGAATTTCGCACCAAACCATTCTGAATGGTTTTGTTTACAGCTCAACCAATTAATTATGTAGATTTCTTTGAAAGTTCGGTGGAGTTCCCCTTTTAGCTATCACGAGGCCAAAGTTGGCTGCCTATACGAATTTCCCCGTTCCACCTTAAATGGTGCAGCAGTTCCATTCAGGCGACTCAGGCCTGAGGCACCAGAACGTAACTGCTGCACCATTTAAGGTGGAACGGGAAGATTAATACACAAAGCTGGCGAATGTGAAACCGGCTTCAGCTTCGTTAAGCTAACGCTGGGTGTGTGTTAGACACTGTTTATGTAGGGGAAAAAGAAACTCCCTGCCACCTTTTCTGTTCTGTTCTGTTTGTGTAATGTTACGTTAGCTAGCTAAGTCCATTAATTGTTTCCCCTCTCTCTCTCAAGGCTCAGACGCAGCTAGCTGATGATGCTAATAGTGAACCCCAAAATAACAAAAACAAACGCTGGAACTGCGCACTAATTCCCGAGTGTCCGGTTACAGCCGCAGTGGGTCTTTTAAAGCCTTCTAAAGGAAGAAAGCAGTGTTTATATGGCTTATTTAACAGCATTAGGTCCCCCTGGCAGAAGGACGCCGAAGGTTCGCGAAGGACTTTTGTTTTTAACGGCCATTAAGCCAAGCGTGTGCTCGCGAGCCGTATGAAGCACCCCACCCTCCCGCCACTGAGCCGAGCAGCGCCGAGCCAAGCCGAGTCGAGCCGAGCCGAGCCTGAGCTGCTGTCGCCTTTTTCCGGAGCTTTCACGGCTTTCGCAGCCTCGCTGCACTTCGCGGGCTCTTTACACAACACCACACACAGTAGTTACCTGATTCAGCGGTCAGGGCGCGCAGGGGAAGCCAGAGAAATATCCGCAAAATCGAGCTGAAGTCGGTCTTTTCCCCCTGCGAGTGAAGCACGGCGGCTCTGTCCGCGCGCTCGTCCTTCTTCTCGGCGCTAATGACACACACGGAGCGCGAGAGAGAGACAAACCGGACCGCCTCCGAGCGCGCGCGCGCGCGCGCCCGACACACACACACACACACACACACACACACACACACACACACTCTCTCTCTCTCTCTCTCTCTCTCTCTCTCTCTCTCTCTCTCTCACTCTTACCCTCACTCACTCTTACTCTCACTCACTCTCTCTCACTCTTACTCACACTCTCTTTCTCTCTCTCTCTCTCTCTCTCACTCTTACTCTCACTCACTCTCTCACTCTTACTCACACTCTTTCTCTCTCACTCTTATTCTCACTCACTCTCTCTCTCACTCTTACTCACTCTCTCTCTCTCCCTCTCTCTCTCTCTCTCCCTCTCTCTCTCTCACTCTTTCTCTCCCTCACTCTTACTCTCTCTCTCTCTCTCGCTCTTACTCTCACTCTCTCTCACTCACTCTCTCTCGCGCTCTTACTCTCTCTCTCTTACTCTCTCTCTCTCTCTCTCTCTCAGTTCAGTTCAGTGCCATTCAAAGAAGCTCTATTGATGTGTCTGTCTTGTCTTCAAACTTCAAAGCTGAACATACTTTGTAGAACTAATAGCACTTATAGAATTAATGATTGTAATGACGACAATGATCATAGTGAATCTGTGTGTGTGTGTGTGTGTGTGTGTGTGTGTGTGTGTGTGTGTGTGTGTGTGCAGAGCCTGATCAGTTGAGTTTACTCAGAATATTAGAAGTAACTCGTTGCCTCAAATGAATTAAACACAAACTCAGTTTTCAATTCTGAAATTATACATGGAGTTAAATACACTTAAGTCAAGTTTAACAAAGTCACCAGCAAAACCAGCATACGCTGTGTTTTGGATGCTGCTGTCTGGTCAGCAGCAGATTGCGTTTTGACGCTGATCTGCTGGTCAACCAGTATAACCATGCTGGTGTGACCAGCTAAACCAGCACCAGACTAGCATAGACCATCTTTGCTGGTCTAATGCTTTTAAGTCCATTATTAAATTAATTAATCAATTATTTTTTTAATTGTTACTACATCAACATAATTGTGATGATCACAACCTGAAATGTAAAAGAAAACTGAAGAGTCTTCAGAGATGCATATTCTAGCAATAGGTTTGAGGAATTATTTCTGAGCCGATAGAAATTTATGTTGTTTTTTTTGTTACAACCAAGCTGACAACTCAGCAGAGACACTACACATTCGGGGTTAGGACACCTAAACCATGTGAAGTGCTTTCAAACTTACATTAAAGGTGCAAAATACAAGGGTCCCGGGGGGGCCGGATCCCCTAATTAACCTCTTGGACCCCTGAATGTCTCAAAATCAAAATTCTGGGGGTCCCTGAAGATAAACGTATTAAGAAGTTATGCTGTCCTTTAGGGTACAATGGATGCTCAAATGCAGATTCATTGAAGCTCATTGTTTAGCTGCTTCGCCCACAATCAGCTTCTGTATTTCGCTGTTGCTGGTAGAAAACCTCGTATCTCCAAAATGATAACTTTACAGGAGAAGGAAAAAACTTACTTTACTTTTAATGTAAGTCAATGGAACCAGACTTTCTTTCAAGTCGTTTTGGTCCGTTTCCTTTGGTCCATTCATCATGAAACCTACACACAATGTAAAGGGCAACAGGCCTTTTCAAATTATGTCAAAAACTTAAAAACAACAAAAATGGAGATACAAGGTTTTCTTCTGACAGCAGCGATTTGCTATTCTTAACTAACTAGAGCTGCAGCACTGCTCTGCCTCAGGGTGGCGCTGTAGCAGACTAGTTCACCCAGTTGGTCCTTCACAGCCTAGAAACTGTAACTGTGCCCGGAATACCTCCAGAAAACTTTACAATGTACTGCAGCGTGTCTGTAGATCTGATTCCCAAGAGTTTGGTGTAAAGAGTGACTGTTCCTCATTTCTCACACTGAAGACAGAAGAGGAGATGAGGAAGACCTCAGTTAATGTGAGGAAGAGCGCAGAACCACACTAGAAAAGAGCATCTCCAGAAGAAAAATTGTTAAACCAAACGCTTTGCTGCCACTGAAGCATCAGCACCACTATGGCGAGTGAGTTAGCAGTCCACTAACACTGGAGTAGGCAGACAACATGGGAGCCCTCAAATGCCAGGGGTATTTCACACACTGCTTACGTTTAACCTCGATATAACATATGAATGCATTTGTTTGAAAACGAGATCTGAAGCTAAAATAAGAGCTAATAAACAGGAATCAACTAACCCACTCTTTAAAAAGATGGTTCTTTAGCAAAGAAAATACTTTTAAACAGAACCATGTACACTCCAAGAACACTTTGCATGATTAAAAGGTTCTTTGCATGGTGAAAGGGTTCTTCAGACTGATGGAGAATATGCTGTAGATGGTTCTATATAGTATATAGCACCAAAAAGGGTCCTTCTATCGTATACAAGCTTGACACCGTAACAACAGACAAACCCTTTTCAAAAACGTTCTACATAGGACCAACTACAGCACATTCTCCATCAGTCTGAAGAACACTTTCACCATGCAAAGAACCCTTTAATCATGCAAAAGGTTCTTTGAGTGTTCATGGTTCTACATAGAAAAGCACCAGAATGGGTTCTTCTACTGCTCCAAGCTTCATAACAATAGCAGAACCACTTTTGATGGTGGTGCATTGCTTTGTTCTCATTGCCTGCACTGCAGGTTGCAGCTCCATTGTCACCACATGGCAACATTTCAGTGTCATTTTAAAAAATATATATGATTTTTTTCTCCTCACGTTTCATAACTCATGCTGTTAAAACTGTTTCATTCACTAAAATGATCAACAGGTAATATAAATATATGAAATCAATAAAATGAAGAATCACTTCTTAATAACTACTTACTCTAACAGTATTTAACATACCGTATACATTGTGTTTTTTATATATATATATATATATATATACTTATATATATATATAAACATACTCATATATATATATATATACATATTCATATATATATATTTACATGTACATATGCATATATATATACATATATATAAATGTAAGTGTGTGTGTGTATGTATATATAAATATATATATATATATATGTATATTTATTAATATATCATTTATAGATATATTTGTAATTGTGTATATATTGTTCATACAGTTATATATTGCATAGATACATCATATTTCTGCCTGTTATTGCACATTTGAACTATATGTTTTGCACTATTGCTACTGTTTTCACTTCTGGGAGGTGCTAACTACATTTCCTTGCCTTGTACTTGGAGTTGAATTCAGTGATCTGTCTTTCACTTTTAGCACTTTAATTAGTCCAAGACCAGGCCTAATCTATGGAAACCAACCTAAATAACCTATATATAGTGATCAGGCCATATCTATATATTAAGCTTACAGTTGTATGCAATATTTTGAGAACACCTGGCCAAATTCCATCTTTTTGTTGATTTTCTATGTGTAAAAAGGTGAAAACATCATCTACAGAGACACACTTCTGCATATTTTAATACACAGCTACTGTTTATTTGCTGACTTCAATATATTGGAAAAAATAGTATGTAAAAAAAATGTGGCCTGTTCAAAAGTTATGGCACATTTTATGATTTTCCATATAAATTTGCAGAAAATGCTATCGGTGCATCCTGCCTTCCACCCAAAGACAGCTGGGATAGGCTCCAGCACCCCACCGCGACCCAGAAGGATAAGCAGTTTAGATGATGTATGTATGTATGTATGCATCGGTGTGCTCCCTGTAGAGGATGTGCTATTGTAAAATCAATAAAACATGTAATTTGTTAAATATACAGTTACATATGACTGTATTTATCTATTTAGTGCCAAAGAGTTAAACAAATAACCCCTTTCAGATGTGAAATACATTTCTTTTTCTCCCCTTTAGTGAATGGACAGGATTATTTGGTACAGATGTAGATTTCCAGATCTTCCTTGTGTATCTTGGCCTCCAAATGTGGAGTGAAAAATGAATGAAGGATGTGAGGGAGGGTGGATGGATCCTGCGGTATGAAAGGATGAAAGCTGCACCCTCTAATCGTGTTAGCATTATCTCGTCCACTCCACTCCCCTTCAAGTGTCACTCCAGCGTTGACACTTGTGTCTTTAAGCACATGGGGGCCCGAGCCAAAGAACAGCCTGAAGAGAGGAAGACCCTTCATCTGACCTCACAGTGTGGTTTTATCTCTGCTCCATGCTGATCTTTTCCTACTAGCCAACTCAATTAATCAATCAATCTGATTCTCATTCATTGTTTGCCACAGTGCTAATTTCTAACAGGTCAATAAAGCGCCATTCAGTGCATCTTGAGCACTTGGGATTTGGAGCATTATTGTGTAAGGCCACCAAATTAAGTCAAATCAAGTCAAATAATTCTTATTATTGCATATTATTATTAAAATATACAGGCTATGCACATTACTATACATAATATCATACATACATACACAATATGTACCATGCAATACATGCTACACTCTTAAAAAGATGGTTCTTCAAGGGTTATTTAGTAAGAAAATGGTTCTATATAGAGACATGCACACTCAAAAAACGCTTTGCCTGATTAGAGGGTTCTTTGCATTGTTAAAGGGTCTATATAGCACCAAAAAGGGTTCTTCTACTGTTACAATGTCAAGCCTCTAACATTAGAGGAGCCCTTTTGGCCGCTATATGGACCCTTTTTAAAAAGGTTCTATATAGAACCTTATTAAACACATTCTCCATCAATCTGAAGAACCATTTAATGATGCAAAAAACCCTTTAATCACACAAACGGTTCTTTAAGTGTTCATGGTTCTGCATAGAACCATTTTCTTTACTAAAGAACCTTTGCAGAACCATCTTTTTAAAACCCTTGTGTGATGTTGGGGTCTGAGGACTCATTTTCAATGATTACTTAAAAAAATTAATGCGATTTATTATTATTTCAACCTCAAATTCTTGTCCTTTGCTCATTTTCTGTAAAGAACATATAAAATAACCCATTTTCAGGGTCTTCACTCTGTTCACCCCCCACACATTTATATTACACGTGGTGTTGGGTGAACCCACGGGGAGTAAAAGTGTGGAGGTGCTGTGTCCTTCACTCTGTTCTCCTCCTACATGGCCTGCTGTTAGTGTGTGTGTGTATGTGTGTGTGTATGTATGTGTTTGTATGTGTGTGTGTGTGTGTGAGGGTGGACAACATGGACAGGCTGCTGACTGGCTACAGCTGCTAAAGGAGAACCCTACACTGGACACTTGTGATATTTTAAACATCTGGTATTTTTACATAAATTGTTATGGCTGTATTGATTTAAATAACCAATAATGTGGTGGGTCCACCAGACCACTGAGTAACAATCACATCAACAGCACACAAGGGTTAAGGGTGTATGATACACAGTATAGACAGTCTATCCAACATACAGTACTGCACGTGAGTCAAAAAGCCGAGACTTATTATAACTAAATATATAATTTCAGATGTTTGAATGTTTAGTGTGTCCCTCTTTACCTTTATTACAGCTTCCATTCTTTTCAGGAGACTCACTTTCAGCTTCTCAAGGAAATCTGCAGACACGCCTCCAAAGCTCAGAGCTCTAACAGGCGTCTACAAGTTGCATCACATGTAAAGCATCTGGATACGATTCCCTGAAGAAAATGAAAAATTTGAAACAGGAAGCCAGCACAATGGCCACTAAAGGGCCTGCAGAAGGAGGTTAAGAAGGCATCATCTTAATGGCCGCTAATTTAGGATGCGCTCAGGAGCCCCCTCTGCTGTCTGTCCAACCCAGAAGATATTATTAAAGGGGAACTCCACCGATTCTACATAGTTGCATAATTAAACGATTGTGCATGATTAAATAGTTGAGATGTAAACAGAGTCATTCAGAGTGGTTTGGTGCGAAATGCTCCGTTCACAGCGGTGGTGATAGGAACCAGACGTCCACCTCTAAAAGCTCCCTCACAGAAAGTTATTACCTACATCAAATGGTCATGAATACACTGCCTGATGTCTGAGACATTGTTTTGTGATAGGTTTGATAAATCTTCATGATGGAGGGGAACATGTAGGGTGCTTTGAGGCAAATTAGTCCCCAAAGGATTTTTTTTTTAAGATTTTTGTAAGATTTATGACTATTTTACCATCATCAACTTTCCATATAAACTTCAGAAGACTCGTGTTGGTTCACTGGTGGTTCTGGACAGTAAATAAAATGGCTATATTTGTGTTGTAGCCATGGTGACCCCTGGTTCCTATCACCACCACTGTTAGGAAACCTGAGCCTCTACAATCAACCACTTCACACCAAACCACTCTGAATCACTCTGTTTACATCTCACACACTCAATTATGCAGAAATATTAAAAAAATTGGCGGGGCTCTGTGGTAATACTTTGAGTATAGTCATATTTAACAGTTTCATGTTCATAAAAGTATCTTTTTGGTATGTAGAACAGGTTTTAAATAACAATTTCACAGTTTTCTTTTCTAAACTATTGTTAACAGCACATGTTGAAACTCTTTTGGCCCAAAAGTGGTTCAAACACCTGAAAGGTTTGAGTGCTGATGAGTGCTGACATCACAACAAGGGGAGAAAACGTATGGCTTCATTACCAAACTACCACGGTCATTAATATTGACACAAATAATTACATGTGTCCTTAAAACAAACCTGCTTGGGCTGTAAAGTGGTAAGTTATTGCAGACCAACAAAGAAAACATGATCATTTATTGTCCCTAATTGTTTAATAAACAGTGTATGCTTGTATGATATTCATACAATATTTAATGGTTTACTCAGTAAGGTAACTTTCACATCTGATCACTTTCTGATCTGATAGGCTCTTTATCTTTCTATTCTGAAATCATGAAAGAATTTAAATGCAAAAAAATAACGATTTTTTTTACAATTATATGCAAAGGTTTGAGTAAGTTAACACATCCTCTACTGTAAACACACTTCAATATGGCATTTGCAAATTTTAGTGCCCAATTTCTATTTATTTAGCTTACATGTTGGGGAAAAAAAACAAACATACAATATAAAATGTGCCATAACTTTTGCACAGGGCATGTTTTATGTTTTATTTTTGTCCCAATGTGTTCAGTTCAGTGAATAAACAGTAACTGTGCATTAAAGTGTGCAGAAGTGCATGGAATTTCTCCAGGGGCGTGCAAACTTTTGCACAGGACTGTATGTTTGCAGCTGATATGCGACTCAAAGGAAAACTTGCTGATCGCTCTGAACTGCTACAGACGTTTATTAGACTGATCTCCACACTAACACTGTGGCCTCTGTGATAGATATATGTTAATTTACTGACCACAAGAGGGTGTTAAGGGTCAACACTGAGCTGGAGCACTGGTGACAAATACCACATTCCGGTTCCTGATTTATGTCCACCAATTTTACAGATGTTTAAGCCCTCTGAGAAAGATCCCTCATACAGTGTAACCCTAAAGCATATCTACATTTACATTACATTACATCACATTCATTCTGGCCCAGCTCAGTGTGAGTTACTGTGTTGCTGTCCACTACTATAAATCAGCATTTCATCTGAGTTAAAGTGTAAATGATCTGCTGAAAAAAGTGACTCAATCAAGACAACAACATATAAAACAAATACTAAAGGGGAATTCCACAATGAGTCAAAACCTCTACATAATTCAGTGGTTGAGATGTAAACAGAGCGATTCAGAGTGGTTTGGTGTGAAATGGTTGATTGTAGAGACTCAGATTTCTTTACAGTGGTGGTGATAGGAACCAGGGGTCGCCATGACTACAGCACAGATATAGACATTTTATTTACTATCCAAAACCACCACACATTGTCTATTTTATCAGCTCCACTTACTATATAGGTGCACTTTGTAGTTCTACAGTTACAGACTGTAGTCCATCTGTTTCTCTGCATACTTTGTTACCCTGTTCTTCAGTGGTCAGGACCCCCATGGACCCTCACAGAGCAGGTACTATTTGGGTGGTGGATCATTCTCAGCACTGCAGTAACACTGATGTGGTGGTGGTGTGGTAGTGTGTGTTGTGCTGGTCTGAGTGGATCAGACACAGCAGTGCTGCTGGAGTTTTTCAACACCTCAGTGTCACTGCTGGACTGAGAATAGTCCACCAACCAAAAATATCCAGCCAAAAGCGTCCTGTGGGCAGCGTCCTGTCACCACTGATGAAGGACTAGAGGATGACCGACACAAACTGCAGCAGCAGATGAGCTATCGTCTCTGGCTTTACATCTACAGGGTGGACTGACAAGGTAGGAGTGTCTAATAGAGTGGACAGTGAGTGGACACAGTGTTTAAAAACTCCAGCAGCACTGCTGTGTCTGATCCACTCACACCAGCACAACACACACTAACACACCACCACCATGTCAGTGCTCTGTGGGGGTCCTGACCATTGAAGAACAGGGTAACAAAGTATGCAAATAAACAGACGGACTACAGTCTGTAACTGTAGAACTACAAAGTGTTCCTATAGGGAGCTGATAAAATGGACAGTGAGTGTACAAACAAAGAGGTGGTTGTAATGTTATGGCTGATGGGTGTTTTTGTTTTTGACACTCCTACCTTGTCGGTCCACCTTGTAGATGTAAAGTCAGAGACGATAGCTCATCTGCTGCTGCACAGTTTGTGTTGGTCATCCTCTAGTCCTTCATCAGTGGTCACAGGACGCTGCCCACAGGACGCTGTTGGCTGGATATTTTTAGTTGGTGGACTATTCTCAGTCCAGCAGTGACACTGAGGTGTTTAAAAACTCCAGCAGCACTGCTGTGTCTGATCCACTCAGACAAGCACAACACTCACTAACACACCACCACCACGTCAGTGTTACTGCAGTGCTGAGAATGACCCACCACTCAAATAGTACCTGCTCTGTGAGGGTCCATGGGGGTCCTGACCACTGAAGAACAGGGTAACAAAGTATGCAGAGAAACAGATGGACTACAGTCTGTAACTGTAGAACTACAAAGTGCACCTATATAGTAAGTGGAGCTGATAAAATGGACAACGAGTGCAGAAACAAGGAGGTGTAAACGTCACTGCAGTAGTGACGCCCCCTCGTGGCCTGTTGCTGTGAGCGCAGACGAGGCGGAACGTTTCTCCTCGAGTTTGCGCTCAGTGTTTGAATGAACGTGGGACCGCTGTGCTCGTCACTCGCGCGTATGCTGGCTGAGTAGAAGCTACAGAACCGAACTCGACCCGCTTATAAAGTTTCTGCCTCTGGAAAAAAACACTGAAACCATGGAAACGATTTTAGAGCAGCAGCGTCGCTACCACGAGGAGATGGAGAGGCTGATGGACGCCAAATCAAAGGAGATGCTGCACAAGAAAACGACGGTACGTTCAGCTAGCTGGCTAAAGCTAACGCTGCTAACCCAAACGGACTCTGCGCTGTGGACGAACGGCTAACTGCTAACCCGGCTAGCCTGCTAACTAGCTAACCTCAGCGAAGAGGTGACCAGTATCTGTTGTAAAAATAACATTGGCTAACTGCAAAACTGACCATTTGACCCAAATACTTCGTAAACAATGACCTAGTGACTTTTAGAGTCGTTGAATTGCTGCGCATTGTCTGCGTAACGATAGCTAAGCTAACGTTACTTGCGGTAGTTTGTATTCAGTTCAGTTCGACTGTGTCATTGAACCAAAACAGTGTTGTAACTTTCATTATAACAAAAACAATATCAACGTTATTTGCTTACTAGTCGAACAGCAAAGTTAGTTAACCTCTTAAACTCTTTGAGACCACCGGTGGTTCCAAAACGCACTTCGTAATATTTTTCATAACTTTCATATTTCATAAGCTACATTCTAAAGGTGGGGGTCGTATGAGAGCTGTAACTGTCTTCTTTCCAGTCAAATAGACGGGTGATGTAATTTTAAACCCTTATAATAAAAGAAGTTGAACTCACAATTTTCTTGTCTGCTGAAAGTCGACCCATTTTTCCACAAATCTGGGCTATAAACTGTAAACAGATGGCGTCTCTTCAGTGATCTGCTCTGTAAACATTACTTTTATAAAATAATACAAAGAGCGTCTAAGATTTTTGGCTTTTAGCAGTAAATTGTAAGCATATAGCAATATGTGTGATCATAAAATACATGTTATGTTAATTTGAGGGGAGCTTTTACAAAAAAAAAATAAAAATAAAAAAAATACATTTATTTCATGCAGTTACTGAGTAATTTGCCTTACGATTTGGTCACGTAAATTCACATGGACAAACCAAAATGTACCCTGGAGAATAAGAGGTTAAGGGCTGCATAATTCAGTCTTTGAGATGTAAACAGTGATTCAGAGTGTTTTGGTGCGACATGGTGCAGATTCCTTTACAGCAGTGGTGAAAGGAACCAGGGGTCGCCATGACTACAACACAAATATAGCCGTTTTTATTTACTATCCAAAACCACCAGTGAACCTACACGAGTCTCCTGAGCCTTTATATGTAATGTTGATGATGGTAAAAGTTTTCTTTGGGGACTATTTTGCCTCACAATGGTGTCAAAACCTCTACATAATTCAGTGTTTGAGATGTAAACAGAGCGATTCAGAGTGGTTTGGTGTGAAATGGTTGATTTTAGAGACTCAGATTTCTTTACAGTGGTGGTGATAGGAACCAGGGGTCGCCATGACTACAACACAGATATAGACATTTTATTTACTATCCAGAACCACCACACATTGTCCATTTTATCAGCTCCACTGACCATATAGGTGCACTTTGTAGTTCTACAGTTACAGACTGTAGTCCATCTGTTTCTCTGCATACTTTGTCACGCTGGTCTTCAGTGGTCAGTACCCCCCATAGGACCACTTCAGAGCAGGTATTATTTGGGTGGTGTGTCATTCTCAGCGCTGCGGTGACACTGATGTGGTGGTGGCATGGTAGTGTGTGTTGTGCTGGTGCGAGTGGATCAGACACAGCAGTGCTGCTGGAGTTTTTAAACACCTCAGTGTTGCTGCTGGACCGAGAACCAAAAATATCCAGCCAACAGCGTCCTGTGGGCAGCGTCCTGTGATGAACCACTGATGAAGGACTAGAGTATGACTTTTATATGGAATATTTTTAATGGTAAAAGTTTTCTTTAGGGACTATTTTGCCTCACAGTGCTCTGCGTGTAGCCCTCCACCATGAATGGATTCAAATACATTTTAAACCAAAACTTTATCACAAAATCATAACCAGTGTCTCAGACATCAGGCAGCATGCATCCATTTAATGTAATGACCTTCTGTGAGGGAGCTTTTCAGCAACCCCACTCTGAATGACTCAGAATGATGTTTGCATGTTAATCATTCAGTCATGTATAATTTTTTAAAAAATGGTGGAGTCCCCCTTTAACCTAGGGGAATATTGCACTTATTAGACTCCAACTACAGCAGACTAAATCACACTTGACAAACCAGTCATATTAGCTTGTTGTTTGTGTTGTTTTGGGTTTGAACAACTGCACTGGAGAGCTACCTTCCTGCTGTATCTAGTTTCAACCACAATTTGCCACACTTTTTCTAATTTATTAACCTTTTCAGAGGTTCCTGTTTGGCTGGATCAGATGCATTAGTGTTAGGTGAGGAGAGAGGCAGCATGTTAAATGCAGTTTGGGACTAAACTAAAGAAAGTAGCTCTTCAGGATCAGGGTAGGAGACCACTGTTCTAAACATAACTCTAAACTCCAGAGCCAGTTTACTAAACCTATATTAAACCTAAGTTGAGAGTTAACAGAATTTCCAATGGTGATCAGTCAGCTTTGGCACTGTGAATTAGTCCAAGGCTAGGTCTAATCCATGTATAAGAAACTGGCACGAGGCTTATTCTAAAGTTATTAAGCTCAAGACTTAATATTCAGTAACTACTGTGAATTAATTAGTAACTACTGTAAAAGTAACGTGTAAGTGTTGAACCCATACAGACCATGCGGGTTTTAGGGATTGGGTAAAAAATGAACACTTTGCAAATGTTACTCAAAGTTCATTATTTGTTCCTCTTTCTTTCTTTCAGTTACGCGACCAGATTAATTCCGACCACCGAATACGAGCCATGCTGGACGTAAGTTTCTGGACTAACGTCAATTCTGTTCTTCTGTTACTGAAAATGCTTTATAGCTACGTTCACATTACAAGCCTCATTGCTCAAATCCGATCTCTCTGACAAGACGGTTCACACTCGTTTAGCTAAGTGACTCACATCTGTCATTAATGTGACGAACCGGCGTCCTGAAATGACCCTCATGCGCACATCCTACTCAAGTAACGTCACGTGAACGAATCACGTGCATCATCAGCACAAACTAACGAGCAGAACGAGCTTCGCTGAGAAGATCATTAACTCTGATCAGCTCTCAGCTTCATTATTAGAGCGAGACGAAGGAGAAAAAGGTGAGATGAGCTGCTTTTCCACCGTTTACAGGCTTTAACTTCTGTTCGGCACTGTTGCCATGGTAACGCTGAATGATGGCGCGCGCACAGTGGAAAAAAAGCACATGAATTCCGATCTGAGCGTCTCATTAAGGTCACATGGCCATGAATCGGATACGTATCCAATCTAGGACCACACATGAAGAGGCTCAGGCCGGATTTGAAAAGATCAGATTTGTGTCCACACAGCTCTGAGAACATCAGATCTGAGTCACATTAGGGCAAAAAATCAGATTTGTGCTACTTCAACCTGGTAGTGTGAACGTAGCCTATCTTCAGTACCCTGACCATGTTCTGCTTTTCTTTGTGTATATAGAGGTATATGGAAGTGAGTGGAAATCTTAGGGACTCGTATGAAGACAAAGACGGGTAAGAGTTTGTTTTTACTGTACCGCAAGTCTATTCATGTTCATTTATATAAATAAATGCACGTACATTGTTTTGACTTTGCATCAGCATCATATTGACTTTGTAATTCTTCTGCATCAGTATGCGAAAAGAAGAGCTGAGTGCGATATCGGGGCCAAACGAGTTTGCTGAATTCTACAACCGGCTGAAACAGATCAAGGAATTCCACAGGAAACATCCTAATGAGGTAACGCACCTGGCTTTTAAATTTCGATTGCAGTGGCTTTCCATTATGTCAGGTTTTCAGACATTATTATCGAATATAGATCGCTGTTTACTTCATTTTGCCTTCTCTCGCTTTCTGTGTCTCACAAATTCATGCATAGATCTGTGTGCCCATGTCAGTGGAGTTTGAGGAGCTGATGAAGGCCAGAGACAACCCCAGCGAGGAAGCACAGAGTAAGTCTTTGCTTCTTTTATTCTTTTACAGGTGGGCAATAGAGTACAATACTGCAGTTTTGAACACGTGCGTGGGTCATAAAGTTTTACAGAGCCTGACAACGACAACAGCAGCCAGTGTATAGTAACAAACAGCAATGTCAGCTCATTATGGCGTTATTTTTGTTTGTCTTTTTAACAGTGTTTATTTTTTTCCCTCCACTTTTCATTGTTAGTATATTTATATCTTTCATTGTTAAATATTTATCTGCTCCCTTTTTCTGTTCCATCTTCAGAAAACACTACATACTGGGACCAGCGTATCATACAAATGCGTTAATGTGTTTAACATTTTTTGCCATATCTCTCACCTTAGAGTAGTTTGGTTTCAGGTATTATCACATCAGATTTAACGTTCCTATGTGTTCTCTTGTGCAGATCTAGTAGAATTCACTGATGAAGAAGGATATGGTCGCTATCTAGATCTCCATGACTGTTACCTCAAGTACATCAACCTGAAGGGAGCAGAGGTATGATCTTCACTCCTTTTTCTTATGGATCCGATTCCTGTTTATGAGGTAGTTAACTTTTTTTTTCATGCTCTGATGTGCTGTTTTACTCTTGTAGAAACTGGAGTACATCTCCTATTTGTCGTCGTTTGATCAGCTCTTCGATATCTCCAAAGATAGAAAGAACGCTGAGTACAAAAGGTAAGTCCAGTTTCACATGAATGAAAGGTGGTTTTGGGGTGATGATATTTATTTGTTCATTTTTATCAGTTGTATCATTATTGGACATTGAGGGCAAGAGCTTAGCCAAAATATCTTATATATTATGATTGTCTGCTGTGTATTGTAACAAGTAGGCTGCCATCTCTTTTTCTGTCAGTACTGCATGTCAGGGGTTTCCAGTCTTTTCTGGAAAAGGCCAGTGTGGCTGCTCGTTTTCATCCCAAACAAGCTGAAGTGCACCCGATTCCACTCGTTAAATCAGTTGATGTCAGTCTTCAAACAATTAAAATGAACCTTTTTAGCCAACTGTGGCTAAAAACAATCGGAGTTAGACCTCCACATTTAACCCATCCGTGCAGTGAAACACCACATACACACTAGTGAACACACACACACTAGGGGGCAGTGGGCAGCCCTATCCACGGCGCCCGGGGAGCAGTTGGGGGTTAGGTGCCTTGCTCAAGGGCACTTCAGTCACATACTGTCTGAGGGGATCGAACCGGCGACCTTCCGGTCACAAGGCTGGTTCCCTCACCTCCAGCCCACGACTGCCCCACCTGCTTTTTGGAAATGAGAACCTGCAACCACAACAGCCCTTTGCAGATAAAACTGAACATCCCTGTCAGGCACTGCACTCAAGTCTAATTCCATCCAGCGGGTGGCCTAAATACTTATTGAGTCTCTAATTATGTTGTGTGCTACACAGGTATCTGGAGATGTTGCTGGAGTACCTGCAGGATTACACTGACCGAGTGAAGCCACTGCTGGACCAGAATGAGCTGTATGGAAAAGTTCTGGCTGAGTTCGAGAAGAAGTGGGAGAACGGGACCTTCCCTGGTTGGCCGGTGGGTTCGCCATAATTACGTCTTTGATTTAAAAAAAAAAAAAAAAAGAATAATAATCATATCTTGTTCCACAGGCAATTAAGATGAGCCCTGTACCCACTGCCAGAAATAACCAGGGGCAGTGCGGCAAAAAAAAATCCAAATTGGACATTTTTGCCCTTTTAAAATGCGAAAAAATCCAAATAGTTAATTGCAAATGTAATAAGTCAATGGAGGTGAAGGCCACTAATAACGCTATGTTTATGCTCTTGAACTGACAGCCTGAATGTGCTTACCCTTAAATAAAACGGCCCACTGCATGTTTTTGCCATTGATATTAAATTGCTAAGCTGTATTCTGATTAAGCGAAAGTTTATTTATTTATTTAAATAAAGTTCCCCCATTAGTGCCCCCTGAATTTCTGTCCCTTAAAAAAACATTATTTGCTACATATTCCACATCAGGTATTTGCATTAAACAGTGCTGTTATCATATGTTCACTGTTTTATGAGAAAAGTTTTAAAAGTCATGAAAGTCTGCAGTTTAGAGTGATTGGCGACTGAACGTTTTTCTCCTCATTCAGCGGTCAGTGGTCGCTTAGCAAACGTTACCGTACTCTCAAGGAATTACGTTTCTTGGCATAATACTTGTTTATGTTGGTTATTATTAATAATAACTTAAATAATTATTTAAAACATTGTGCATTTTGATATATTTTATGTTGGCCGGCCGTTTTATAAAAGCAATAAGCCACTCGAGGCCATGGGTTACTGCGATTTTATCATGGGGAAGGGAGTTTTACTCCGCCTACACTGCTAAAGCTGTCCTTTGATAATCATCCATTTTCACCGATAGCGGCCTTACCAAGCCAGTGTCGTCATTTGCATACTGTTATTAGGTCACGGAACGGCCTAACCCCGCACCAAGATATAAATGCAGCGTAAGGGTTATGTACTGTATTTGCATGATACATGCAAAGTGCTTTGTTGCATGAAAGAAACACATTAAATGCTAGTTTTATACTGGACTGTCCTTTTACACATAACTACAAACTGATGTTTAAGTGAGTTTTGGTGGTCCCAAGTTAAATGTTATGACAGAAGATGTATCAGTAGAAAAATAACCGTACAGGTTTCTTCCATTGAAGAAGGGGTAAAGCACTGGACCAGTCAGTTAAGTATTCTTGTGTAAAAAAAGTGTTTGTGGAATAAGATTGAATTGTATCTGTACAGTTCTTTAAATGCTCATATGCTTATTGTGTGTGACAGAAAGAGGCGAGCAGTGCTCTGACTCACGCTGGAGCTCATCTGGACCTGTCTGCCTTCTCTTCCTGGGAGGTAAGTGTTCTAGTTATGAATGCCCATAGCTCCTGGGTTATTTTACTGATAGAATCAAGAGCCAAAGAAGATGGGAAACAACACACCCCTTAAGAACGTTTCTTAAGAAGAAATTCTTCTTTTTTTAAATTTTTTTTATTGTTTTCACTGTAACTGCTATGTAGAGGAGAGTAGCATATTATTCCACCTAGAACAATTATTAAGGCGAGACCCGTCTTCCACCAACTATAGAAACCTAGTAAAGGTGAAATTCCTGTTGAACAATTTGCTTACAGAGAGAGAATCTTTTGTTATATCTCGCATCAAAAGAATATACCATGAACAAGGAGAAGTATTTAGGCCCAATCCCATTTCTTCTTTTTACCCCTACCCCTTGTTTTTGAGTGTCGCCCTAACCCCTTGGAACTGACTTACAAGGGGTAGTGGTTGAAATCTTCCCTATGAAATGGGACCCTCAAATAAAAAGAGCATCACTTCATTAACAGCTACCAGTGCTGCTCTGTAGGTGACCCTGCCAGGCTGCAGTGACAGCAGAGGAGGGTAAAGTTCAGCTCCTCACTGCTGGGCTTTAGTTACATTTAGGGCATCATATGCCTTCAAAGAGGGCGGCAATTATTTATTATCACCCACCCCTAATTCTTCAGTGATATGAAGCTGAAGTCAGTTATTCACCAGCTTCTTGTTCGAATTTTCCCATTCCGCCTTAAATGGTGCAGCAGTTCAGACGTGAACTGCTGGACTATTTAAGGTGGAACAGGAAAGTTAGCTAACTACCGAGACATTAGCACGCAGTTAGTCTTGTTATGAAGAAAAGGACCAAAATACATTGAAACGACATTAAACTAAGATAATACAATGATGATTGTATTTTTTTTAACAGAGAAAATTCTCACATTTGTGGGTTTCTGTGGTCGCTTGCGCATCTTGCCAGTTTTTTTTTTTTCCTCATATCTCTCTGTTTGGAGTCTCTGAAAAACCTCCGTTTGGAGGCTCATGTAGCCCCAACACTTCGCCCTACCCCTCTATCTCAACAAGAATCGGGACACCCTACCCGTAGACATGAACGCGCAAAACAGAGGGCTAAGGGCTCAGTGGTGGGGGCGAGGGGTGAAATGGGACTGGGGTCTTAGCTTATAAATGACGACAACCAGAACCAAATAAGATCACAATTAAATCAAAAACCGGAGTACTCAAATGTTTTCTCTATTTTTGCAGAGTTGGTGCGCAATTTTTAAAAATCACATTCAGTGCTTTTTAATACTTTTTTAAAACTTTAGCAAAAATAAATCCTTTTCCGCTTAAACAAAAGCATACGCACTCAAACAGGGCATGTTTTACTATAGCCAGTTAACAGAACACCTGATTTCTTTGCAGGAGTTGGCATCTCTGGGACTGGACAGGTTAAAGTCTGCCCTCATGGCTCTGGGATTGAAGTGTGGAGGGTGAGTGTCTGTGCTTGAGTATAAATTGTCCTTTTATAATCATCTGTTTTTAATGCAGTGAAGCAGCATAAAATAAATTATGCCAACGTCAAGTTAAAATAAGCCTGCATGCTTTCCCTGTGAAATCTGTGGATGTTAAAACGTGTCTTCACTGTCTCCAGCACACTGGAGGAGAGAGCACAGAGACTGTTCAGCACTAAAGGCAAATCTCTGGAGTTGCTGGATCCGTCTCTGTTTGCCAAAAACCCCAAAGCCAAGGGACCAAAGAAGTAGGTGTCTTATACTTGTAGAACAGCGGATCTCTTTGAGTTTGATACCTTGAATCTAACCTCATCTACCATCCTCTGCTCACAGGGACACGGAACGAAACAAGGAGATCGCTTTCCTGGAGGCACAGATTTATGAATATGTGGAGATCTTGGGGGTAAGTGACCTCTTTGCACTTTTCTTAAATTCTTTATTTAAAGAGGCAGATAGGAAGAGTTCGTATATGCAGAAAATGCAGTCGTAGTAACAAAAACAATTACAGCATTAATAATAGTAAGAATAGTAAACATTTACAATTTTGCAATTTTCTTTTTATTGGGGAAAGACATGGAAGAAAATACAAAATTCACATTATATCAAACAATTATAACAGTACTTCAATTAGCACCACAATTATGACTATCTAAGGACAGTTCCATTATGGGCCAATTCAGCTGCTTTACTTTCAATGCTTGTATGCTTTTATATACCTATATACACATAAATGCATACATACGCACAATCCTCTTTTTCTAATCTTTACTTTTCTTATGCTAAACATATTTTGATAAAACCGTCCAGATCGATAATCATTATGAAGGAAAAGAAAGAAGGGAAAAAAAGAAAAAACAAAAAAAAAGGGCGTGGGGTGGTTTTACCAACTAAAAACATGAAAATTTCTGACTTTCCCTTCAAATTAGCTCCTTAAAAAACTATTTACATTACAAAAGGGGAAGCGTATTCTTTAATTGAGAGAAGAGGAAATGAAAAGGTAGATCATAAAAACCCACATAAGTTCTGGTCGCCAGGGTCATATATATACTAGCCACTTAGACCAAATCTGAATTCTTAAGGAATAAGTTGGCTTTTAAGGTAAATTTCATGAACAATGTCATACCAGTCAACAATTGAGGGGGCTCAACAGACAGCCATTTTCTAGTGATTGCTTTCTTACTTGCAGCCAGCAAGGCCTTCAACAATTTATCATTCAGACTTAAGTCTAACGACAATTTTTACAATTTTGAATTTCCAAAAAGTGGTTCAAAAATAAATTGTGTGTGTGTGTGTATATATATATATATATATATATATATATATATATATATATATATATATATATATATATATATAGTATAAAAATTATAAGGACAAGGTACGTTGAATAATGTCTGAATCATATATCAAGATATAATTGCTTAAAAATATTGGCGTCAGACAAGTGTTTTAAATAAACCGATATTTCAAAATGTTTACATTTTGATGTGATTTTATTTCACTAGAGAAGAGCAGAATCTTTAGATAATGCTGGGTTGCTGAGCTAAATGTCAGTGCTTTATTCATTTTACTTTATTTGTAACCCTGTGAGAAGTAAACATAGTAGAAGTAAACATTTTTACAGTGTGATTCAAAAAGATTAATCTGATTTCAAAATGATTTATTTCACTTGTAAATCATTACAGATCAGTGCAGTAAACTGTAAATGGTTTAAATGAGCATAAAGTTTATTATGTAATTGTACGAGTTCTCAATATGAACCTCCAGCTGTACGGACAACATCGACGCCATAGTCAAACTCATCCATACTCGATTGAGCATGTCGGGTGTCGCTGCACTCACGGCTCTTTCAGTGCGGTTTCAGAGATCATCCAGTGTTGTTGAGAGTCGTGGCACATGAACAGAATTAAAAAAGTCACATGGCGTGAGATCTGGTGATGCTGGTGACCTTTTTCTTCGAACTGTTGGTACCAACAATGAATGCTCTGAGCTGTTGGAGGTTCACTACCGTACTGACAGTCAGAAACTCTGCCCCCCTCTTTCAGTTGGAATGTGATTGGTTCCTAGGAGTTTCAGGGTTGTAAAAATATGGCGCTTTGAAATCGGATTAATCTTTTTGAATCACCTTGTATTTCTCTGTAGTGCTGATCCAGCTGGATGTAGTCCCATCACATTTATGCATGTTTCCTGTAGTTCTCATATATGTTTTGAAGTAATCCTGGTTGTGGTCAGATGTTCAAATGGTAATAATGTAGGATATTTTACACTTACGTTTTTATCTCGGATGACCTGTTACTAATTCCTTTGAGTTGATGTTGCTCGTCCTGCAGGAGCAGAGGCAGCTGACCCATGAGAACGTTCAGAGGAAGCAGGCTCGCACGGGCGAGGAGCGCGAAGAGGACGATGAGGAGCAGCCCAGTGAGAGCGAGAGTGAAGACGAGGACAACGAGATCATCTACAACCCCAAAAACCTGCCGCTGGGCTGGGATGGCAAGGTAGCTACACCTGCTTTTTACTGTATTTATGTATGTGTTCACTGCTTGTGCGTTATGGCCAAAATAAAAGATGGTACACAGTACTTTAAGAAATCTACACATCCTCTACAGGGAACAAACTTAAATATGGTATTTAGCAAATTTTAGAGCATGATTTGAGTTTAACTTACTGAGGAAACAAAAAAAACGTACAAAATGTGTAATAACTTTTACAGAGGCCAATTTTTTATGTTTTATTTTTTCCAATATGTTAAATTCAGCAAATAAACAGAAAATACATACTAAAATGTGCGGAAGTGTGTTCCCTGTAGAGGATGTTTATTTATTTTCACTTAGAAAAATCAACAAAACATTAAATTTGACCAGGGCACCTAAACTTTTGCGTACCACCGTACCACAGTATTTAGTGTTTTCTTGTTTTATTTATTTTTTTTTTTTTTCCTGTGATTCCCAAACAAATTCTTTCCTGTGATTTCCAAACAAATTGGACTAGACAGAATTCACCAGTAAAAGAGCTGTTAAAACAAGTGCTATTATATTTTTATTTAATATTTGCCGTGTATAAACAGTATAAAAAGAAATGGCAGGAAAAAGCGAAAATAATCTTAACATAAGATTGATATAATAGGCTTCAGACCAGTTATCTTATCTGAACCTTTCTATAAGTTGTCTAAATCTGTGTTTTTTTTTTTATGATCCATGTAGTTGTTCAGTGTTCTGGAAGTACGGATGATACACATCATATACTCAGAAAAAATGAAGAAATGTGTCACAATAATGATAACATCGTTATATTTCCCACCTATATCACATAGTGTATCATTATTATTATTAATTTTTTTTTTTTTTATCTTGATTCTTTTTTTCTCTTTTTCTAGCCCATTCCATACTGGCTGTACAAACTTCATGGTCTGAATATCAACTACAACTGTGAAATCTGTGGAAACTACACATACAGAGGACCTAAAGCCTTCCAGAGACACTTTGCAGTGAGTGTTTATTTCCTTACTGACAGTGAAGCTTTGTGTTATTTACACGGTGGAGACGTGTGTCTGTCGTAATGCTGTGCAGCCAACCAGTGTTTGTTATTGAATTGCACAATTGCAATTGTTATAAGACAGTTAATTGTCATATAAATAATTGTGATTAACAGCTAATTGTATGCCAGATTGGCTGATTAGCTGTCTTGCATCACAGCTATGTTTGCTTACATGGTTGTACTGACATGAAATGATGCACTAAACTGTTATATGCACACAATTATACAAATGTCTTTTTTTGTTTTTCTTGAGTGAAAATATAACAAAAAAATACTCATTTTTAGCGTATATGTTTGAATTATTTACACAGTCAACAAATAAATCACCAAAAAGTTAGGAGTTAGAACCTCGTGTCGAGTCCCGTGCTGTCAGTGAGCGCATTTACTGCTTAAATAAACAGATGTTTTCTGCAGTGAGACTGAATGACAACTGAGTTTTCTCTCCATGTCGTACAGGAATGGAGACATGCGCACGGCATGCGCTGCTTGGGCATCCCCAACACAGCCCACTTCGCCAACGTCACCCAGATCGAGGACGCAGTGTCCCGTGAGTACAAATACCACTGACTCCAAACATTAGTTTACATGGAACATTTCGCTGCTGTTGGAACAAAACCTCGTATCTGCATTTTTTGCAATTTGAAAATGGCTGTTGGCCTTAATTTCATGATGAATGGACCAAAAGAAACGGCCCAAAATTACTTGGAAAAAATTCTGGTTCCATTGACTTACATTAAAAGTAAAATATATATTTTTTTCCTTCTACTGCAAAGTTATCATTTTGGAGATACAAGCTTTTGTTCCGACAACAGCGATTTGTTTGTTTTATTCATATTTTCTTCAAAGCTGCACTGCTGTTCAGAAGCCTGGATCAGTTCCAATATAATATGGTCATTTGTTCATTTTGTGTAGGATAATTACTCACACAGTGTAAATATTATAAACTAGTCACTGTTGTTAGATGTTCAGTGTTTTCAGTACTGAAATTATTTTGAATACAACAAAATGTTGGATGAATAATACACTGCATACTGCAGTGATGTGTATATATGAATAGACATTCTGCTCACAGTAGCCATAAAATGCAATTTCAGTCTGTTTTAGGGGTCCCTCAGTTTAGGTGTCAATTATAATGTGTATTATTAAATTATAATTTGAACAAATTTTAATTAAATTTCAATTATATTTTATATTAAAGTATTTTATTTAATTATTTTAATATAAATATCCAACGATTGTTTTACATTTTGACAAGAAGGCCACTAGGAGTCCTGCAGAAAGGGGATAATTTGATTATAACTGTTCTTGATGTCCAACAGTAACTTCAGTTATTTAAGAATCATCTGCAGCTCTGTTCATTATTCTGGACATGTTGAACATGTTCTTAGTAATTATTTGGACCTTGTTACCACATTAGATGACAAAATAACTTTATACATTAATGTGCAGCCAAATTGTTGTATTAGTTAAAATATTTTATTCTAAACCCCGAGACTTTTGATGAAATGTTGGTGATTATTTATAAAGGTGCCTTTGACAGTGATGAAAACTGAGCTTGTTAAGTGATTGATGTTTGCTGTTGGCTGACACTGATCATGACAGTGCAGTGAAATCTGTTCATTTCTGTTTCTCTTTCTTGTCTTTTGAATAGTCTGGTCAAAGCTCAAGTCACAGAAGGCATCAGAGCGATGGCAGCCAGACACAGAGGTGAGTTGCTGACGTCCAGGGCAGTCATGAAATTTTAGCTGCCAGTGATTTTGATGAACAGTGTAAATACCTTTTTTGGTTTGTCGTGCGGATATTGAAGTATTAAAGAGTTGAGCGAAGCTGGATTCTAGCTAACAAATAAACAAACATTACTTGTGCTGCCCTCAGCAACCAGTTAGACCTTTGCATGACGCGTCTCAGTAAATGCTTTTCCTGCTTTCTTTTATTTACATTTATTTGCCACCAAATTCACATTCTGTTTGTGGCGGCATGAGTGTGAAATTAAATGACTACGGAAAATGATTGGAGTCAACTTTAAATTTGATCATTTCCAATAATTGCAATTAGGCGATTATGTAATAACTGACAGGCCTACAACATCACTGCAGCGTTAAAAGATCTAATCTATAGCCCCCCGTCCCACCACTTTACTCCATATGTAGCATGTTTAGTTTTGCACTGAAGCTTACAGGCTAATGTAGCCAATGAGTAATGATAGCTGATAGTGATGAAATATTATACAGCAGTTAGTTCCGGCTCACGCAAGCTGATTGGTTGAGAAGCGTTCTAACCGTGCTGTTATTTCGCCATAACATCACAGGTTTTTCACAGACACTGTATCACTCTGCTAAGACGCTGTTGCCAAGCAACGACTTTGACAGATGTAAGAGACGCTCAAGCCATTTGAACGTTTTTACTTTGCGCACAAACAGAAAATGGACACTTTTAAGATCACATTTGACCGACAGCCGATTTGGTCAGACTCTGAAGATGAGACGACACTAAATTCCCAAACTGTCAGTTGGTCTGTGTGGAGCTGGAGAACGAACTGCCGGCTGTGCAGCGAGTGGGCGGAGCTCGTTACTCTGACGTAGCAACAAGCTGCTCGTTAAGGAACTATAATTTGGTGAAGGAACTGCGAACATTAAAACATATTAAACGCCGCGTTCACGGCCCAGTTTATTAATTTATTACTTTATTTAACTGTTGTATTAAAGCAGTAGAACACTCGAGGAGTGTGTTATCGTCAATAACATCACGGCTGTGATGATCTACAGCAAACAAATCACGTTCATGATAACAAACTCCCTCTCGTGTTCTATTGCATAAATAATGTACTCCAACTTCTAACTGCAAATCATCACAAACCCGCAAACCTAAATCATCTCAAATCGTGTGGATCTCTAGTAGACTTGATTATATGGTTTCTGACACTGTGACTCACTTTTACCTATAAACATGGACGAAAAAACAGCACAGAGCCAAAAACAGTAGTAGAGGCAACTTGAAGGCTGATTTTTGTCCGTACTTTAGTCCATGCTGAAAGTCGCTAACCATGAACAGTAATGGCACCAACGTAAGCATAATTATCAGATATTTATACGTATACTGACAAGAGTCTAGAGCTGGTGGGGAAGAAATGTTTGAAGAGCCTATATATGTATTTTTTTTTAGGTTTACTTGTAGCTAATAGTCACAATTAATTTTTACGGGACCATTTTGCAACCTCATTTTATCATTTTATATTTTATAATTTTATTCAGTTTTTCATGATTTTGGGCCCTTAAAATTTGTAATTCGACACTGGATCAGATACAGTTTCCATCATTTTGGAGGTTCAGTGCTGCCGTATGAAGCCCCACCCCTTCAGATGTCAACACGGCCAAAGCAGAAGCGCTATTGGTCAAGGGGGCGAATTCACATGTCAAATTTTCACAAACACGATGAGAAATTTTGCCCACAAAACTTTTTGTCCCGAACATCTGTGAAGTGAACCCGCTCGAGACAGCGAACTGAAATGAATGTAATTACGATCCTAAAGCTACAAAACTGAAGAAGCAAACGTCAGACGCCAAACATGCCTGCCTTGTGATAAGCGGAGAAATTGTGTAAATTTTATTTCTGGTGAACCGTTCCTTTTCAATCAGTCATACTCAGCTTGCCTGCACTGTTAGCTCAGTCTTCTGCATGACTGTAATAACTATGAAACATGAACTGTCCACAAGAGGGAGTGGTGCCATCTACAAGCCCTGATCTTGTCTCTCTCTCTCCCCCTCCTTCTCTTTCACTTTCTCTTGTTCTCTCACTCCTCCTTTCGGCCTCCCTCTGTCTTTCAGGAAGAGTATGAGGACTCCAGTGGAAACGTGGTCAACAAGAAGACCTATGAGGATCTGAAACGGCAGGGTCTGCTTTAAGACCCTGAAATGAAGCCCGATAAGACAAGTTCACCACCCAACCTGAAGCATGAGATTTGCTTAGGATCCGAGTCTGTTTCCTCTCGTCTTTTTATTTTTGGACTTCAGCCATTCATATGTGTCTTTTTGAAAATAGTAGATTTGTATGTTTTTATTATTTGAGCATTCCCCATTAAGCCCTGCTCTGTGACAAGAGACAAATGTGGATTTCAATATTCAATAAATCTGAGAACATTTGGCAAAAATGTGCACAATTTTTGTTGTTAGTGTTTCCGATAAAATGGCCAATGAGTAGGCAGAAGGTAGGTGGACCTAATAAACTGGACACTCAGTGTGCCGAGCTGTAGATGATTGCTTAAAATTCTTCAGGCATTGTAAGTTATGATGATTACTCTTGAATCAAAATACTTATACTTGCATAAATGATGCTTGGCCTCTTATTACCGCCTACAGTGTGGTATGCGAACGTCTGGCCAAACGAAATATTTTGTAAATTTTTAAGTTAAAAAAAAAGTAAACACAGTCTCTGCAGGAAACTATTTAAAACATATTTTTCTGCAAATATTAATACAGTTACTTTTTTCACTTAAGTGTTTATTTACAAGTAGACATAGCTGTATACAATGAAGGAATGTCAGAACACCAAAGAGGGGTGTCTGTGGTTACAAAACTCTTTTAGGAGTGAGTGTGTTCTACCAACACACTCCTAAAAGAATAAGAGTCCCTAAAGCAGCTAAATAAAGGTTATGAAAAGGATAACTGAGGTAAACCAGAAACAGGCATAAATGACCCACAATATGTGGCCAGGGGTGTCCAAACATCTATATACAATAAGCATTATCATTATCATTTTACTCTTTTTTTGACTGAGTTTTGACATTTATGGCCTAAAACTGAAGGCCTAGTTCTAATAGTCATGGTTCAGCCCCTGCCACTCGCTGCTATATTTTTGTTTGTTTTTTTTTTTTTTTTGGGGGAAAAAACCTTGTATCTCTATTTTTGTCATTTTTCAGTTTTGAAGAATAGATCAAAAGAACGACCCAGAATGACCTGAAAAAAGTCTGGTTCCATTGACTTACATTAAAAGTAAAATAGGTTTTTTCCTTCTCCTGTAAAGTTACTATTTTGGAGATGCAAGGTGTGTGTGTGTGTATATATGTGTATATTTTCCAGGTTTACTTGCAGTGTATGTTTGGTACCAAAAATAGTCATGATTAATTTTTTATAAGACCATTTTGCAACCTCATTTATACACACATACACATATATGTATATAAACTTCTATATACAATAAGCATTATCATAGAGGTGTTTTTTTTTTCCTATTTTTTGACTGAGTTTTGACATTTATGGCCTAGAACTGAAGGCCTAGTTCTAGTAGTCATGGTTCACGGTTTACAAGCAAATTTGGGCCTCATTGGCAAGACTTACAGGAGATTCCTGGCTTAACAGCCACTCGCTGGTATATTTTTCTTTGTTCTTAAATCCATGAGAGGTATTCACACAATGAATGCAGTACTGTGTGCTGTGTACCGAAAATGTGTTCTTCAAATCTGCAGACAAGACAAGCCGTTCTGTTCAAATGAGAAATACGTTTTCATTTATTACACTGCAATATGCAATATAAAACTGATCGATATCTTTTTTTCAATAATTGCTCACAATGGCCCTCTTAGCAGCTTTCATGGTGCACCGAGAGCTCTTCAGCACCATTTAAGCTGTTAGCTAGCTGTCTCCCCACAGAGACCTCACCAGGCACGCTAATGGGCTCAGATGGCTGCTGAGAGATGTGTGAAAGAACAAGAAAACAAATGTCTCGCTTAATTACAGCTTTGCCCCGGTGGGCAGGTTGAAGTGCTCTAGTTCGATATGAATTTCTGTCAATCTGCTGTAGAGTGCGCAGCTCTCTGAAAAGCACAATTCATGATGTGTCTTTAATCTGTGTTGATGTAACTGGCCTGAGGAGGCTGATCTGTGGAGGTCTAACCGGCAACTATTATGCAGCGCTGAGTCGGATTCTCTGTGATAAACAGCAGAGAGAAGCACTTAAAGGAATACTTTACATCAGGCTGGAAAATGTTGGGAGTTCTTTTAATACAAAAAGGAGACATTTTTCCCCATACAGACCTTTTTTCTTTGCAGTGTCTCCTTGTTGTTCCTGATCTTTGTAGTGTTTTTGAGCACAGGCATAACCACAACACAGTCATCACTGAATCTGTCTTTCCTCAAAATATAATCTCTCACATTAAGTATTACTGATTAATAGCCTAAATATGGCTAAATGTCTAATTCTCTCTTTCTGTTTTACACTATGTATCCTTTTAACCTACTCACTGGCCACTTTATTAGAAACCACCTTGTATGTTCTCCAAGTGGCCACTTTATTAGAAACACCAGCCTGTGCTACCACTCACTGTCCACTTTATTAGAAATATCTACCTTGTGCATCCACTAACTGGCCACTTTATCAGAAACACCTACTCTGTTTGTTCTATCACTGACCACTTTATTGGAAACATGACGTTGTGCTCACGTGCACTGGCCATTTTATTAGAAATACCTTCCTTTAATGGCCTCTCACTGGCCACTTTATTAGAAACACCTGCCTTATGTCTTCTTAGTGGCTAGTTTATTAGAAACACTACCTTGTTTGGCTTCTCAGTGGCCACTTTATTAGAAACACCTTCCTTGTTTGTCCTCTCAGTGGCCACTTTAATAGAAACACCAGCCTGTGCTTCCATTCATCGTCCACTTTATTAGAAACATCAGACTGTGCTTCCATTCGATGTCCACTTTGTTAGAAATACCTGCTTTGTACTCAAAGGCCACTTTATTAGAAATATCTACCTTGTGCATCCACTAACTGGCCACTTTATTAGAAACACCTACTCTGTTTGTTCTCTGACCACTTTATTGGAAACACAACCTTGTACTTACGAGCACTGGCCATTTTATTAGAAATGCCTTCCTTCAATGGCCTCTCAGTGGCCACTTTATTAGAAACACCTGCCTTGCTTGTCCTCTCAGTGGCCACTTTATTAGAAACACCTACCTTATATGTCTTCTCAGTGACCACTTTATTAGAAACGCTACCTTGTTTGGCTTCTCAGTGGCCACTTTATTAGAAACGCCTGCCTTGTTTGTCCTCTCAGTGGCCACTTTATTAGAAACACCAACTGTTTATGTCTTCTCAGTGGCCACTTTATTAGAAACACATGCCTTGTTTGTCCTCTCAGTGGCCACTGTATTAGAAACACCTTCCTTTTATGTCCTTTCGGTGGCCACTTTATTAGAAACACTATTTTGTATGTCCACTCAGTGGCCACTTTATTAGAAACGCTTCCTTGCTTGTCCACACTATGGCCACTTTTTTGGAAACACCCATGTTTTGCTTGTGACTAATATTCGTGAGGCCGCCAGTGGAACTAACATTTCTTCCAAAGCAAATCATTTTGCCTGTCAGTAGTGAACACAGTCACATACCTATAGCTTTGTTTTCTTGAGCCTGAAGTTAAACACTGTCATGCTCTTTGAATTATGATTCACCTTTTTTATCAATTCTCCAAAGCACTCTGGGCTTCCATTCTGTTTCTGAAGTGTCCATAAATAGTCTTTATGATGCAGTATAGTGAACAGCCTGTCAGTTTTTGTGCTGCTCTAATATTTCACTTGTTTCCCACCAGACATCAGCGTGTTCTCCTTTAAGATTTCAGGAGGCCGTATTTCTTCATCTGCTCAGAGACGAAGCATTCGTCATTGTTTGAGCTCCTCTTTTACTTCCTTTCGTCTCTTTTGTCCTTCTGTTATTTTATTCTCTGAGCACATACACCGATCAGTCATAACATTCTGACCACCTCCTTGTTTCTACGCTCATTGTCCATTTTATCAGCTCCACTTACTATATAGGTGCACTTTGTAGTTCTACAGTTACAGACTGTAGTCCATCTGTTTCTCTGCATACTTTGTTAGCCCCCTTTTACCCTGTTCTTCAGTGGTCAGGACCCCCATGGACCCTCACAGAGCTGGTACTATTTGGGTGGTGGATCATTCTCAGCACTGCAGTAACACTGACGTGGGGGTGGTGTGTTAGTGTGTGTTGTGCTGGTCTGAGTGGATCAGACACAGCAGTGCTGCTGGAGTTTTTAAACACTGTGTCCACTCACTGTCCACTCTATTAGACACTCCTACCTTGTCAGCCCACCTTGTAGATGTAAAGTCAGAGACGATAGCTCATCTGCTGCTGCACAGTTTGTGTTGGTCATCCTCTAGTCCTTCATCAGTGGTCACAGGACGCTGCCCACAGGACGCTGTTGGCTGGATATTTTTGGCTGGTGGACTATTCTCAGTCCAGCAGTGACACTGAGGTGTTTAAAAACTCCAGCAGCACTGCTGTGTCTGATCCACTCAGACCAGCACAACACACACTAACACACCACCACCACCACGTCAGTGTTACTGCAGTGCTGAGAATGACCCACCACCCAAATAGTACCTGCTCTGTGAGGGTCCATGGGGGTCCTGACCACTGAAGAACAGGGTAAAGGGGGCTAACAAAGTATCAGAGAAACAGATGGACTACAGTCTGTAACTGTAGAACTACAAAGTGCACCTATATAGTAAGTGGAGCTGATAAAATGGACAATGAGTGTAGAAACAAGGAGGTGGTCATAATGTTATGTCTGATCGATGTAAACAGGGGCAGTTTGAGGAGGTGAGTCACTTACCTGAGATCTGAAACTGCTATATTATGGTTATGATTGTACCTCATATCAACATAGATCATCCTCTTTGTCCTCTTTCTCCTCTTTTCACCCAATCCTGAATTCCTCAGCATTAATTTGGGAGAGAAAATACTAAAGTGTTACTACACTGAAAGGAGAATTCAAACGAATTTTCAGAATTTCTGCATAATTCAGTGTAGAGATGTAAACATAGTGCTTCAGATCTCTCTACAGTGGTGGTGATAGGAACCAGGGGTCACCATGACTACAACATAAATATAGACATTTTATTTACTATCCAGAACCACCAGTGAACCTAAATGTGTCTTATAGGTTTTACATGGAATGTTGCTTATGGTGAAATGGTGGAAAATCTGAAGAAATGAGTTTTCTTTGGGAACTATTTGGCTTCACAACACCCTGCATGTATCCCTCCACCATGAATCTTATCTTAAAAATACTGTAAAACAGCGTCTCAGACATCAGGCAGCGTATTTATAGCCATTCGTGTGATAACT